ATATCATACGATAGATATAAGATAACGATAGATATAGATAAAGATAACTTTTATTTAATATCAGAAAAGCAAATTCAAAAATTAAGACACACCTTCGGAGCCACAAGATCGAATTTTTCAAGTTTTAATCAATATGAATTTTTCGAGTTTTAATCAATATGAATCAGATGGGATTTATTAATTGAGTACTATCTCTGCAGTAAACTTCATAAGCAGATTAGATCTAAAGCAGAGAGATAAAGAATAGATCTAAAGCAATATCTTGATTGGCTTATCGGCTTAAGTTTACGTCTTATGGTTATTGTTACAGAAATTTTGTCTGCGGCAGCTTTTACAATAGAAGTAGTAATAATTAAGCTGCAAAAAACTGACCAATCACAGTTGAAAGTCAGGAGAATAATTCACTATGATTAGTCAATTTCTTATATTAAATTAGTACCACTAATGGCACTAATAAACAATTAGATGTGAAAGAATTATTTATTTATTATTCTGATCAATTTTACTAACCTACACACATTTTTATATGCACATCCAGGATTTCAAATGAAATGTCCGGGATACTTACTTTATTTATGTGATTTATTTATTTATGTCCGGGGTAAGTTCTAGTTTCGGAAAGTTTGATGGTAACCCTCTACTCTGTACGATCATAAAAGTCAAGTAATGCTTAGATACGGACTATGCTTGGATAAGTGACTGTTTGGAGAAATTACATACAGTCGAATTTCTATCCGCGAATATAGGAAATTTCTTTCTTTTATAATTATTTTATCATATGTATTTAAGAATGTATGTACTAGTTAATAAAATTTTACAATAATTAAATATTAAAAAATGAAATATCAATAAAATTGGATTAAGTATACATAAAAATATTTTACTAAGTTCAAAAAACCTTTTAAAATAGTTTTATATAGTGGTTTTAATCAATCATTATTTTTAATGATTAATTGTTTCTTACGAGGACATTTGTAACTGTTATTCAACTTTACAATTTTTTCAACAGTTTCTCAACGCTTTTCTTCTACTTGGGATGTTTGGCTAATTTTATAACTATGGATCTTATCAAATCCGAGTAAAGGTGTCGTATAAACGTAGTCAGTAACTCGGTATTTCGCTATCGCTATCTATGCGATATCGTTTTATCGTCACTACAAGTAGACGAGTATATAAAATTCATATAGCTGATAAAATAACTGCCATATTATTTATTATTCAGAATCCCATGCGATAAAGTTTTTAGAATATTTTTTATAAAAATGCATTGTCAATCAAAATATTTTATTTAAAAAAGGAAGAAGTAAAATAATAAAACGCGCAAAATTTTTTATTTAGATTTTTCGTATCTTTTATATTTCGTTTGATTTTGCAGACTTTATTATTATAGATAAGCTTACGATTTATCGTCTTAGGATTAAAATTTATCAATCTATCAATCATATCTTTCACGAAATCATATAAAACAAATAGAATCCGTAAATGGTTGAGAAGCTGAGACATTTTAATTTTTTTAATAACTCTTTAAACATTTAATTCATTCTGTGGATCTGTATTACTAAAGCCCGTATCAGTTGACTATTATAATTTTTCAGTTTTATTTCAGTCAATCATGATAGATTCGTTGCATCACGATTGGCTGAAATATCGTTAATCATCAATCCGCAATCTGATACGGGCATAATGTCCTTAGCATTTAGCATTAATAAAAATTGTCTTTAGCAGAATACTTAAATTGTGAGTTGGAAATTAAACTAAAATATTAAACAGTTGCTATGAAACTATTGTCTAATATAAAATTAATTAAAAACTTAATTTAAAAAGTTACTGAATATTGATTGATTGAAATAGAATCAGACAATCATCAATCGTAATAGTTAACCTGTAATCTGATTCGGGCTTAAAGACACAGTGCTAGACATAATGAAAATAGGCAATAGAAATAAATTTCCATCTTAGAATCCGTATATCAATTCACAACAGTAGATTGAATCTGATAGATTGAAATCTATATTCCGTGTTCCTATTGCATGTATTTTTTATTGTGTCATGGCTTTAAATCTCACAATTGCGCCCGAAAAAATTATTATAAAGGGTGTCCCAAAATTAACGCAAGATTTGAATTTGCCGCCATTTGTGCAGTAAAGTGTTGGCAACCCCAAAAAAAAAAACAATTTAACAGCTGACAGTTTAGGGTTAGTGAAAATGGAGCGTGAAAATGGATTATTGAACATCAACAAATGGATGCTGATTTTTCGAGCAAAATCATCCTAAGCGATGAAGCACATTTTCACCTTGATGGCTTTGTTAATCGCCAAAATCGCCCCCTAGATCGTGTGATTTAACACCATTAGATTTCTTTTTATGGGGTTATTTGAAATCACAGGTCTATGTCAACAAGCCCACAACCACCCGTGCATTAAAGGAGGAGATTCAACGCTGCATCAACGAAATTCAGCCACATTTATGCAAAATGGTCATGGAAAATTTCGACAAACGAGTGCGTATGTGCATGCAAAGCCGTGGAGGCCATTTGCCCGATGTGTTATTCCACAAATAACCCTATCCTATGTACTTTATGATTCAATAAAAAAATAACAATCAAAAGACTAAAAACTGTGTTTTCTATTTAATTCAAATCTTGCGTTAATTTTGGGACACCCTTTATATTGAATATACAAAGAATCATTAAAATTTCATGTAACCATTTAATGACAGTCCAATGTAGGCATACAAAACTAACAAATCTTGTAATTACGTATACCATTTCGTATAATCCCTCGATATATTTGTAAGCAGGAAAAAAGTACTTCTAGAATTGTTTTATTCAAAATATCTATTAATTAAGCCATTCAATCTCTTTAGTCAATGTTGAACTTTCATGACACATTGTACGTTTAAAATAATAATAAACCATTTATATAAATACATCGATTCGTACGTACGATATATAAAATATAATAACATCATTATATTAATAACTTTGGCATAAAAAATTGAATTAAATATAAACATGTTCAGCGTGGTATGTATTGCTTTGCTTTATTCTAAAGCATTATAACAATGTATACAAAGTCTATCATTTTCGATGTTTAATGACAACTTACAAATTTTGCGCAGATTTTAAATAGGATTCTTATTATTCTAATGTATGTATTATTTAAATTTCAATTAATGTTGTCTTCTTAACGCAACTTATTTATTTGACCTGGCATAGTAAACTTCGCACTTATTAAAAACAAGGATGTGTGAAATTAACACTCCGAACATTAAAAATAGTTTTGAATTAGAATTTCCATTTCATTTTGAAGAGACTAAAAGTTTTCTATTTGCAACAAGAGTTCTGCTTAATAATAATCTGAAACTTAAAATTAAAAAATAGAGTGCTATTTTTTATTGATATTCAAAAGGTAATAAATTTCACATTGTTACTGCAGCAGAACTCTTATTAAATCTGTTTTTTTATTCTTGCACTAGACTGCACTAGAACTTTTTCTTGCTTTCGCCAAATATTAAACATACATATTTCGCTTCAAGTTCTAAAAGTATACCTATCTTACTTTAAGTTCCAAAAGTGTACACTAGTACAGCTACAAAAAATAAATCTATTATAAATTATGAAAAATTCTTAGTCCTTCTTTAAAATAAAGCAAGAATCAAAACTGTAAGATTTAATGTGCTAACTTCACAGACACAAAAACAAGCGCATTATAAAAGTCTTTAAAAAAATCACAAAGATGCGTCGTAAATACATATTATAGATATCAATTATCAAGACAAATCGAGAAAGTACACTCATTATGAATTAGCAGAAAAAATTATTAATAGAAAAAAATTTTTTTTAATAATCGAAGAAAAACAAAATGTAAACGATGCATTAAACATGTATAGTAGATCACAGAAAGTGCAATAACTACAAGAATTTGCAATACTTTTTTTCGATGAATTTCGGAATAGAGTCTGCTCACTGAGTATTGGTTTTTACTCATGGATCTAACCAATTATGTTCAACCGCTTTACGATTTATGAGCAAGGCTGAGTTCTGAAATCTATCGAAAAAAGTGTTGCAATCTTTTTGTAACTGTATACTCATTAGCTAAAAGATTGCAAGACTTATTTTTTGAAGAATTTCGGAACTTAGTCTTGCATTTAGAGTGGTTAAATGTAAATAGATCCATCTGATCCATAAGTAAGAACTAATTGCTCGGTGAATAGGTTGCACTTTAAAACCTATTGAAAAAAATGTTGCAAGTTTTTAGCTAATAAATGTACAATTTAAACGTAAACGTCATGAAAATAAAAATACAATAAATTTTTGTTTGCACATCGATTGTTAAAACGAATCATTGTTTAGATTGTTGATGTCCAGACAATTGATGTCCATTATATATGTATAAATGTATTCTTAATTAGTTCAGTACAATGCAATATAATATAATTTTAATAAATCAGTGAAACCTTATTATTGTAAAAATGTTACATAAATTTACTTAGAACTAGATCTTACTAGGTCACTAGCGATTTTGCATTTTGCTTGCAATTCAATAAGTAAAAGGTAAATGATGGATACATCGAAAATTATACCTGGGACATTCTTTCAAGTCGGCTATCCATCCTTTCAAAATTATACTTGACGTAAAAAAACAATCTTGCACACAAATGTAGCTTCAGGCATAAGCTATCGAAAGCCATGTGAGCAATTGCAAAATTCAAGATGGTGGATCCAATATGACGGACATGAAGCAGAAAAAAGGAAATAAAATAAAAGACAGTGTCAATATTCGTTGAATTCACTTTAGAATTTGTTCTCAAGTGTGTCATGGACCCTAATTACAAATCTGCTGTCAAATTTTAGAAATTTAAAATAGTTTTAAAATATACTCATACGCCGAAGAAGAAGTTATTAAAATTCCGTAGAAAATTTTCAGTAAATAATTATTTACAAATCTGAATAAAAATAAAACAAATTAAAAAAGGAAAAAAAAACAAAAAATAGAAAAAATTAAAAACCAAAAAATTAGAAAATTTAATTTATTTCCTTTTTCCTGCTTCATGCTATATTGGATCCCCCATCTTAAATTTTGCAATTATTCACATGGCTTTCGATAGCTTATGGCTGAAGCTACATTTGTGTGCAAGATGGTTTTTCTACATCAAGTACAATTTTGGAATGTTGAATGACTGACTTAACAAAAAATGCCCCACCCGTATATACGTATCTATACAAAAATCAAACATATAATACAGAATATAATTTGCAATAAATTGAAATTTTGATAGTGCACGTATAAATCTGTATAAAGAATGGGAATACTTATCCACAATTTGATTCAAGATTAGTCACAGAAAAACCATGCTCTTCCAAATTCTGTATCTGACGATTTAACTGCCAAGTCCATAATGAAAATGATGTCGCATGCATCAATCTCAATTCGTTTTTTAACTGTAGAATGAATTTCCATAACGATGCATGGAAAGATGAAGACGTAGCCACGTAGTATCGCTACAAAAAAGAATAATATCATCGACCTCTATATTTAATCTAGACTAGTTTCACATATTGATAGAATTATTATAGCAAAACTTCCCTATTCTAGAATCTTTTCATCAGTATAAATTTTTGTTCCAATAAAAGATAAAAATGTTATTATACATACTGATCTATCTTTCACTCATTCTTTCACTTTACATATTTTACATATGAAATCACTTAATGAATATGTTGTAGGAGATTAATACAGAATGAGAATTTCAATTTACAGCTTTACGTTGTTTCAAAACACAAACTTTTATATAGAATACGCAGATCGCTATTACGAATAGATAAAATTTGATAAAAACGCATAAGTGAGTCATGCTGCCACATTTAAGAAAAACATAGAAAAGTGCAATGTGCGTGTACAAAAATTGAAAACAGAAATTAATAATTTCAATAGCATATAGTAGATGCTCAAAGAAAGAATACAAAACTAATTTCTGAAAATCTCAAATCTTAAAAAATAATAAATAAAGTGCCAATTTGAGCCGAGGTGGTTATTACCGGTCGGTAATAACCGATTGGTTATTAGTGTGTATTGTAATATCATTTATTCAAAGTGAATATTAAACGTATACGTTTCGACCTATGGTCAAAGTCCTCTTCAGTACAAAAAAAATATATTAAAATTACACAATGATAGCACATACGAGTATAAAGTAATAACATAAAAAGTGAGAAAAAGTGGTAGTGATGTCCGAGTTAATCTTGGTCATTAAATTATTAAGTTAACTAAAAAAAAAATTTTTTTTGTTTTAAAACGACCGACCCAAAAGATTAAAAATAATTTTAAAAATGCTAACATGAGATTATACGCGAAAAATGATTAAAAAAAAACTTACATGACTGTCAAAATTGAGCTGTTTTTATAAGGTTGTTGTACATGTTCCATTAAACTGTTCAATCAATTGGTATATCGAGGTTCCGAAAACTTTTCGGAATGTTTCAGAAGCGTAGATGAAATATCAATAAATGAAGTGTTAGGAAGTGTGCTCACTCCATGCACTCTTTGCGGAATATTGTGGAACGTTTGGAAAATGTTAATGAAAAAAAAAATTAAAACGTGTGGGAAATGTGTTTTGGGCACACTTTACAGAACGTTTGGGGAGAGTTTGGGGAGCGTGTATGAATATTCAAAACCACTAAAAGTCAATAAAATCGATGAAATGAAACAAGCGTTAAAACTTTTTATTCACACTTCTTTGATGCTTCGACAAGCGTTACATTTTCATCAAGGGCGACAATAATTATACATAATAATTTGTTTTTATTATAGTTTATTGTAGTATATTGAGTTTATTTATTAACTTATTATTTGTTATTATTGGCACGCATTGAGTCACTTTTGTCGAATTTCAGGCTTTGGGGACGTAAAATACTTTACGTTCTTTGCTGCAGGATTAATAAATTCATTTTGACAATTAGATGCACTGCACCATGACATAATTTTACTTCACAAATGAATTAAATTGAATTAAACTAGCAAACTACAAAAACCAATGTAACCAAAAGAACATGAATACGTGCTCTTTCGTGTGCATTTTGAAGAACATATCCCATTGGTCGAGTAGAACGACAACTGCGCATCCATGGGAATGCTACATCTTGTATATTTTCACCATGCATTGTGCGAAGACTATATTAAGAGATAAGGACGGTTTTAATCTGTTAAAGCGATTACAACGATTACCTCTCGACAGTTAAGTTACGGCACTGACAAAATACTATTAAAGACGGTTGGTCTTATGAAAATTGCGTGACTGTTAAAATTTAAGTGATTAAGAGTAAAAAAAATCGATAATATATGGTGCTAATTTTATAATTTATTAGTTTTGTATATACATGTATATATGTCGCAGCCTTTTTGAGAAATTAGCCTTTTCACGAAAAGGCTAGCCTTTATTCAAAACCACGCCTTTTTGCAAAATCAACAATCGTTTCTCAACTAAACCGACGCACTTTAGCCTTTTCGCGAAAAGACTAAAGTCTCACATCAGTCTTATTGGTTAATGATACACGTTCTGCAAAAAGGCTAATGAAACGTCTAGCATTTTTGCGTAAAGCCTACATTCTAGGCATACATTCTATATCTATTGCTTCTATAATTCCGCACCGAATTTTCATATTTATCCATAAAATGGATTTGCTTGCATATAAACAATTTCAAAAGGAATTCCCGTTTCAAATATCATTACTTTCCTCATAAAACATTATCCTATTACGCTTTACAAGGATTTCCCACAACAGTCGCCATTCATAAAATCTCATAATACATATAATATTTTCGACGTGGTTCTACGAGAAATTCACAATAAGCAGAATAGGAACAGAATATGAATCTATAGAAGTTATACCTCTTATTTTCATTTTTACGTAAAAATGAATTTTTAGTGTAAAAATAAGAGAAATAATCTTCAATGGCCTTGATCTTGACAAATGTTATCCAGGACATGATCCTGAACAATTCAAGAGATATTAGACGGATATTGGTCGGATACCTGTAATGCTAATGCCGGCGGTACTGTAACTTTCAATAGCCTTATAACTCTAAAAGTACTCAATGAAAAATAACTTTATTATAATATTTTGAAAAGCTCTCGATATCAACTATTAGATACTGAAATAAAAAGTTAGGTGTTCCATTAAAAATAATCAATGTGACCTTGACCTGACCTTGGTGACGTGAACCAAAGTCAAACTAATAAGATCAGTAAATATATCTTTTTAAATCCTAAAACTTTTGTCTGAACCATTTTTCTCAATGTTGTGTTTTCGAGATAAAAATTTGTAATTTTGTTCGCTTTATTTTAAATATCCGTTATATATCTGAGTTTTGTTACTATTAGTTACTATTAGTATCAGACATACCATAACATGTATTATTAGGTATAGTAAAAAGTCATCGCGTATTTTTAAAAGACATCTATCAGTAAAAACCGCAATTACTTTCTTACCAACAATATAAATATATCTTCATAGAGTAAAGTTTCAGCTTTAAAAATCTCTTTTTTAAATTATACGATACGACAATTTTTAATGGAGTTATGAGCAATTAAAGTCAAAATAATTCTTTTATTTAATCCGCGATAACTCAGTAATCAAAAGTCGTAGGAATATTAAAAAAAAACGATTTTGTAGGGAAAGTATCAAGCTTTCACGATAGGTAATCGAAAATTTTCTCAAATTCGTTTTGGACACGTTACAAATCCACAAAGTGAGAAGAAAATTTTTCGTCTTTTTCAGCTCGTAGTTTTTGGTATGTAAAAATTATCACTCGTATAACCAACTCGTATAATCAACTCATATAAACTTAAAAAATGTGATAAGCTTTTAAAAGTAGAGATTTCAAGCTTTAAAACCCTTTTTTTAAATTTGAATTTCATTCATTATTGACGAAGATATTGTATATACAACTTTGAGCTAAAAAATACGCGATGACTTTTTACTACACCTAATATATATAATTAGAGAGAAACCAGAGAGTGGATATTCCCGGCTTTTTTTCATATATCAAATCTTATAAGATAATATCCACAACTTTACTTCTCTTCCATGGTATTGATTAGACAAAGATGAACAATCAAACTTTGAAGCATATTTACCTAATAGCACGGAAAAGAAACACAAAATCGTGAACATTATCCTACGAGATTTGATACACGAAAAAGGCCAGGATGATTATTCTCAGGTTACCGAAGAGATACTATTCAAAACGGCCGGCTCTGGGAAAATTTTCGTGACTATCAATAGGGCCGTCTCAGAGAGTCTGAGGATAATTGAAGAACGATGACATAATCAACAATTAATATAAATTTGCGATCAACATAAATATTTGGATAATATATTATTTATACATTCATGCTTCTATATTATACAAATGTTGTATAAATAAGTGAGTATACTTATAATGTTATCACAGATAACAAAATTCTTTGGTATAAGAAAATTAATAAGTGCTTAGCACAAGTTTCTCTTCAATTACCACCATGTTGCTGTCACCAGGGCAATAATAATTTCATTTAGAGCAGTGCTCGCAAAGATTTGCACATTTCGGACTGATTCCGGCGAGCGACCTTCACCACCGCTCGACCGAGCCGCCGAGTGCTCACGTGACGCTCTGGATCAGGAGACTATATCAGAAATACTAGAAGCGCATCTTCCGCCAAATTATTATTGAAAGATGTTTTTTATTAAATAATTTATTTCTATTAACATAAAATTTTCTATATTGTTAATTTATTTATTGTTCTTTAGTGATATACTTATATCTTAACGTAGTTTTCTAATATTGTATATTACATAATTATGATAACGTACATTTCGGCAATAACTTTCCATATAATCCGTGAGGTACTATTGTAAATTGTAAGATGCATTTTTTTTTAATGATTTCCCCAGTAGGCCTATTCCACAAAAAAAAAAAAGAATCGAACACTCGAGTGGATTGGAAAGCAAAATTATATATCGTATTATACGATATAAATAATTTATAACTAAATTATTTATTAAAGGTAATTAATTCTAACTATACACTAGTTTGAAATCGTTAGAAGTTTTTGATCTATGTTTTTTACTATGTTTAAAAGTATTCTGTTTTTCATACTTTTATCATTAAATATATATATTATGAATAATAGTACCTTATAATATTAGTAACAGAATACTTTTAAACATAGTAGAAGATACAAGTCAAAAACTTTTAACGATTTCGGACTAATGTTATTCATGAGACAGAGCATCGCGCGTTATGACAAAATAGCAATAAGTAGGAACGATAATGAGCGTAAATACCGATATACGAGTATTTCAATTTCAAGTCAAAAAACACCGATCTTGGACAGCTCTGCTCTATTGATACTCAAAACTGATTTAAAAAAAATAAAAGACCAACAAGTATGATTCAAATCATGTGATTTATTCCTGTCAAATAATTTGCGCAACGATCACAGGAGGTGCTACTATTCATA